AATCTGGCTGGTGATTGCGGTTGATGTTGAGCACAGCGTTACAACACGTGATCTGGTGCGGATGCATGACCGAGTGCCTTCAGCTAGATGAGTCCACTAAAACATATGGTCAGCATCCAATGTCGAAAACCTACAGAGCTATTTAGTTTGGGGATTTATTTACCGCTACAGATCACTCGCCCCCTAGTGTGGCAGTGATGACCCTAAGACGTGGCCAGCCAGAAGTTTAAATCCAACGAGTTTGTCGTTGATAAACACTCTTCTGATAGCTTACTAAATTTAGCAGCGTCTGGTCGTCTTTCCTTACTATATGGGACCGGGGTACAACATAGTAAAAAAAGAAATGTACAATAGAAATTTCGGATCCTCATAAACGTCATCGTTCTTTTCCAGCCGTCCTGGAAAAGAAGAAAGAAAATGTAAGTGCATGTCGAAAATACACTCGTATGTGCGTAAATAAAGGAAAACATGTAACAGCGTTAAAAAATCGTTTGTTTTTGTTTTTTTGAAATAGAAATAAAAATATAAGCCTATTAAAAAATTTTTTTAATAACATAGAAAATGTCGAGAAGTGCCTTACGTGCAATAGTCGTTTAAATGTTCTGGAAATCTCACTCTTCTTCCAGAACGCGTCGTTTTAAGTTTATTTTCGGATACTGTCGAAGTATCATCGTGTGTTTCGGTTGTCGGATGAGGTATTATAAGTGTCGGAGTCGTGTCGTTCAATTGTACCGAAGGAAAATCCACGTAGATAGGATTTCCTTCTAAATACGCTGCTTTGAGGCGATCGATGCTGATGCTATCGTTGGTTCCGTTTTTATCGATTATATAGTACTTCGGTTCGCGTTGAAGAATTTTGAAAGGTCCTTCGTATGCTGATTCGAAGGGTCGTCGATGCGAGTCTCGACGAATGAAAACGTGTGTACTATATCGTAAGTCAGGTTGAACGAAAACATCAGTTGATTCAGGTCGAGTGGAAGCAGGTTTAACTGAACGCATTGCGTTTGTAAGCCTGTTCGTGTAAGAGGTTAGATCCATGCTCATTGAAGAGGATGAAGGATCCACGAATTCTCCTGGAAGTCGGAGTGTCGTTCCATAAACGAGTTGAGCCGCGGTGTATCCAATGTCAGCTTTCACTGCATTGCGGATACCTAGTAGGACGAGTGGAAGAGCGTCGGTCCACTGTGAAACGTTCGCAGCTGATAGTGAAGCATTTAGTTGTCGGTGAAAGCGTTCTACCAACCCGTTTGCTAATGAGTTGTAGGCGGTCGTTCGGAAGCAAGTGCTTCCTAATAATGTAAGTTCAGACTCAAACTGACGTCCGCGGTTTGTAGTGATGGTAGAAGGGCAACCGAAGTTTGCTACCCATCGTTCGACGAAGGTTCGGGCCACTGTTTCAGCAGTGATGTCCTTGATAGGTACTGCTTCTGGCCATCGAGTGAAACGATCTACGCAGGTTAAGAAGTAAGAGTATCCATTTGAATCTGGTAAAGGTCCTACAAACTCCAGATGAACATATTCGAAACGAGAAGCGGGAGTTTTAAATGAGCCTAAGGAACATTTATTGTGTCTTGTAACCGTAGATTTTTGGCAGCTTACACAGGAGCGTGTCCACTCCCTCACGTCTTTATTCATACCAGGCCAGCAAAACCGTCCTGCTATAAGCTTGATGGTTGCACGAACACCTGGATGAGAAAGTTTGTGCAATTTGTTGGAGACATTGCGTCGATAATGTTTCGGGACGATTGGGCGATCCCTACCTGTAGATGTGTCACAAAGTAAGGTTTCCTTGCCTGTTCCCATCTGTTTGACGCGTAGTTTAAGGGTTGTGGACGATAACTCGTGCTGAAGATCAGTGTCTTCTTTTTGAAACTGGGCGAGTTTAAGAAGGTCGATTCCTTGGAAACTGTTAAAGGAATTTATTCGAGACAAGGCGTCTGCTATTACATCGTTTGCTCCAGAAATATGTTGAATATCTGAAGTAAACTGCGAAATGTAGTCCAGTTGTCGAGACTCACGGGGAGAGTACTTGTCTGAAGAGGAGCTTAACGAGAAAGTGAGCGGTTTATGGTCCGTGAAAAGAGTGAATTCACGACCTTCGATATAGTGTTGGAAATGCCGTACAGCACAATACATAGCTAGGAGTTCCCTACCGAATGTGTTGTACTTCGACTCAGTGTCTAGCAACCGCCTGGAGAAAAATGCCAAGGGTTGCCAGGAGTTGTTAACCCATTGTTGTAAGACTCCTCCGATTGCCGAGTCAGATGCGTCTACTGCGATACAAATGGGTGCTTCAGTGTCCTGATGTGCGAGCATTGTTGCTTTAGCGATCAGTTCCTTAACTGTGGAGAATGCTTTTCGTACGGTGTCGTCCAAATTAATGGATTTCGCATTTCCACGAAGTTGGTCGGTAAGAGGTTTCATAAGTAATGCGCATTTCGGTATGAAGCGTCTATAGAAACTTACCAGGCCGTTAAACGTGCGTAATTGCTTGACGTTGGTCGGTTCTAAGTAATCCAGAATGGCCGCCACTTTGATCCTAAGAGGTCGAACACCTTGAGCATCGATAGTGTGTCCTAGGAAATCTGACGAGTCGGTTCCGAATTGGTATTTTTGAACGTTTACAGTAATGTTATGTTTTTGTAATCGTTCTAAAACAAGATCCAGATGCTTGAGATGTGATTCTCTGCCCGGACTTGCGATTAGGCAGTCATAAACATACGCATGTACGTAGTTGTGACCTCGAAAAACGTCGTCTATGAATCTTTGGAATGTTTGAGCAGCATTTTTTAGACCGAAAGGCATTCGCAAAAATTCATAGAGTCCGAAAGGAGTTATGATAGCTGTTTTCGGTATGTCGTCAGTAGCCATAGGGATTTGGTTATACGCCTTAACCAAGTCGATTTTAGAAAAGACAGTTGTATCTTTCAAGGTAGCTGTCAAATCGTGAATGTGAGGCAACGAGTAACGATCGGGAATGGTTTTCGTATTCAATCGCCGATAATCACAAGTTGGACGCCAATCGTTGCTGTCCTTTTTAGGGATTATGTGCAACGGAGATGCGTAAGGGCTGTTTGACGGTCGTATGATTCCTAAGTCTATCATGTGATGGAATTCGTTTTTCGCTAACCTCAGCTTTTCCGGAGCTAGTCGTCGTGCTTTAGAGAATACAGGTGGTCCTGTAGTCGTGATGTGATGTGTAACATTGCTGGTTACACACGGTAGTTTCGGTTGAGTTTGTTGTATCCCAGGGTACTTATCGAGTAGTGGTTGATAGAGTGGGTCTATTATATGCTTAACTGTGACTGGGGATAATCTACAACCAGAAAAAGAAGTTACGCAAACGGATAAATTAGTGTTTCCGTCTACTAGCCTCCGTTTGCGCGTGTCGATGATTAAATTATGGTGTTGTAGAAGATCCATACCAATGATTGGCATAGAAACATCTGCAACAACGAAAATCCAATGAATGGGTTTGCGTAAACCCACGTTAAGGTAAACTTACCTTTTATCATACGTAGTCATCGGTTTTCCATTTGCCACCTGTAAGTTTAGAGTTGATTTGTGGAACCGGTCGTTAGAATTTGCTGGAGAACGCTAACTTCTGCGCCAGTGTCGACGAGGTAGCGAACTCTCGTTGTCACATCTGTGACGTACAACAGATGGCTATGTTCTCCGGCTACGGTTGCCTTTAACGCGTGCCGGCTTGGAAGCTTCCCGAGTTGTTTTTTGAGTCAGTCGGTTTCGTGTTGGGAAAATTGCAGGGTTTTCTGCAATTTCTGGAAGATTTTCCATACTGGTTATGATACCAGCACCAGTCGGGGTTATCCGTCTCTCGTGGTCTAGAGACAGATCGTTTACGTGAAATGCTTCTACGTGGGCTGTGTGAGCGACTACGGTCGTTACGAAAATTAAGATGACGCGTGAGCGTATGACATGACTCGGTTATGTCATTCTGAATCGTGTGAGGCTTTTCTTTGACTGAAAATACCTCTGAAGTAGACGATTTCGTTATTTCTAAAATACGATCGGCAGATGCAGCTAGCTCGTCCAAAGCGTTGTTCTGAAACGAGACCTGAACCGATTGCACCTGTTGAGGAAGTTTAGACAAGAAAAGTTGTTTAAATAGGCCTTCGTCGAAAGTTCTTAGGCCTATCACTTCTCTCATTCGTTGCAACATGTCCGTCGCAGAACCGTGTTGCAGGTCGATGTTATTGAAGAGTTGATCTAACCTTTGTCGATCAGTTAGGTCTCCTCGTTTAAAAATCGAACGTTTTAGGATGTCGTAAGGTTCGAAAACATCACTAGTAAACATACTAGGTGTTACGTACCTGTTGAATTCGCGTGGTAGTGCCTTGACTACTGCGAGGAATTGTGCACGTGTGTCGATCACGCCGTTCTCGGAGAAGTCAGCTTCTGCGTAGCAGAACCAGGCTTCGATATTGTCGGGCCAGAAAGGCATGAGTTGAAACGAAGGCGGGGACAAAGTCTTAAGCTTGAGTACTTTGGGTGTCTGTTCAACCATGATGAAATATGAAATACGATAATGAACGAGGGGAAAAAATATATATACAAGAAAAAACACGAAAAAATATCACAATGTTTAAAAAATAAGGTAATGATATATGAAAATCCCAAAAAGGAACAGACTCACAGTTGCAATAAGGTGTACCAGATCACGACGGTCTCACCAATGAGGATGATACAGGTATTCAGTGTTTGACAACGCTTCTACCAGTAACACCTTCTAATATACTTTGTTCCCACCGAGAGAAATCAAAAGACAGAGTCGAGGAGATCGGAAGAGTGTATTTGGCGATAACCAATATATCGGGAATCTCTGATCTAATCTGGCTAGTGTTTGCGGTTGATGTTGAGCACAGCGTTACAACACGTGATCTGGTGCGGATGCATGACCGAGTGCCTTCAGCTAGATGAGTCCACTAAAACATATGGTCAGCATCCAATGTCGAAAACTTACAGATCTATTTAGTTTGGGGATTTATTTACCGCTACATATTCTTAAGGACTAAGGATAACATCTTATTATGATATGCTGATTTCCTTTCTCCCGTTTTATCGTTAATATACCTAGGTTCCTGGCTGGAGGTATTGGTGATCCACTGCTACTAGATACGGAAGCCCGTTAAGCAAAAGCTTCTATTCCGTCCACAACAATCTGAACTTTTTGAGTAGGCACTCTCAAGGTCACAAAGGCATCGCTCAAAGGTCGTTCATAAGCTGTTGTCCAGCTGCTGAATGAATGTTAAATGACAAAATATTTTCTTTAACAACTTGGTTGTACAGTGACAAATAGCTGGGTTTATAATTGTTTGTCCCTGAGTGAATTTAAAGTGAGTTTGGTGTCTTCGAGAATCACCAATTCCTATGCGGATCTAGTGTATATACACTAGATCCGCATATCACTTTTTAGTTGCGAAGTAGGATCGAGTGTAGATTAGGACAATATTATTCTAAATGCCATTTAAGCATGTCACACATATGTTTTGCATTCGTTAAAATCCAGAGCTTTTTGTGAAGACATTTTAACACCAAAATTTTTTGGTTATAACCAAAAGGTTATAACCGTAATGATTCGGAAACACTATCGCTGAGTACATAAACATTTTTTGTCGAAAAGCTTATCATTTGTCATCTGACATGATTCGCGTTTATGACCGTAAAGTAAGTAAGTTTTCCCTCGTCCACTCTGGCATCGCTCAAAGATCGTTCATTAATTACATTTTCCCAAGAATTCTTTTAAAAAATCCTAAGAGTTAACTCTTAGGATCTAACCTACTGAATTTTAGTGTTAATTTTAGTTAGCTTAAATCAGAGCACTCTTGATGGCATAACTAGTAGTTTCAATTGGAATTGCTAGTCATACCTTGTTAACAAGCAAATTTATACATAAGCATGCTAATTTGCAAGTTTGCTTGCAGCAGACAAATTTTATGACAAATATTATCACTTATCCTAGTGCGTACAGAAAATTACATTGATCTTCATGAAAAAGAAGTTCTGATTTCCGTAACATATGTTTCAGGTGAAACCCCTATACCGTAGAGAAAAAGCTTGTTAAAAAGTATCTTAGTCAGATTAAACAGATTAACCTTTCCTGACTAGGGAACAAAATCATTTTATCATACAATCTATGCATTACTTTGTTAGCTCAGTAAGTGGCGGCGTATTGCTGTTAAATTTCTTTTACATTGATTGGTTGTAGTTAGAAGTAACCATACTTAATAATGCAAATGATATGAACATCATTAATTATAACCACTTTCGTTTGATAAAATCTGTGGTATACTGCTTTATCACAATTTATAAGGTGGTGTGTTTCGTAATTTTGAACGTCGGTATTGAAAATCTTTAACTTCATACTCAACTACTGTTTAAAAATTCATGTCATCTTCCCTGATGTTTCATGTCATTCAGAATCCCAAACTTTTCCAAAATGTATATAATTGGTATTCTGATATATTAATCCATAGTTTCGTTAGAATTTATCTTGCTTCATGCTTTTAGGTGTTTTGGGATCAAACACAATACTCACCTATGGCTGATCAGACTGGCCTGGACGTATGGACTTTGGAATCAGAGATTCAACTTTTTCATGCTATATTGAATCACAAACCCGTTGGTGCAGATCGTCATTTTCAGATGATATATGTATGCAACCTTGTAAACTCGTTTGTGAGTGATCCAATTAGTACAGATACTATTTGGAAAAAGCTAGGTTCGTTGTATAACATGGAAGAGTTGGTAATTTAATATTCCTCTTAATACAGCTTTTTCATCTAGCATGATTCTGAAGTTAATCCGTTTCAAGCAAAGATGAAGGAATTCAGCCTCCCAGAAGAGTATGACTCCCTGAAATCTTTGAAGTACCCTCGTGTGACATCACAGAGTGGCATATCTGTTTCTCGATCTCCACGTACTAGTGAGTTAATACTAGAGTTCACCCTCACTGTACAAATACTGTTCCTTTTATTTCCTTACACATACCGTAATATATATAATTCGAAACTGATATTGCATTGTTATCCACAGATGCGAAAACACTGGAGAAGTATCTCTTCTAAAGATGATTGAACCTCCAAACTATTATACCCATTAGTTACAGAGCTTTCTCTTAAGATTGTGTGCATTATCTGACACGTAGTTATAGCCTAAAAAATAACTATCCGTTGATAAAATAAATATATTCTCATCTTTATGAGCAAAGACGAATGGTGGCTGGCAGTGTAATCCAGGACGCGCGTTTCGTCCTATCTAGGACTGATCAGCTGGATATATCTGTATCCCAGAGTTGATGTTCACTCCACTGTTACCCACCATTTATCTTTGCTTATAATGTTTGTAACCTAAGGTAATATCCAGGCAATCAGCACAGGATGGGCATATCCCAATAAGAGACTGGTTAATTTCAGTCTTGAACACTAATGGTAAGATTCAAACAATACAGAATGAATTATTCCCATCTTTGTTTCAAATTAGAAGCATAATAAAAAGGATTAGCTACTGCACCTATTTATGTTGAGAACTATAGTTTACACTGTATTAAGCTGTAATAAGTGTTTCTGTTAAATTTGTCTTTTTAGATTCCTTTAGTCAAAAAAGAACAAGGAAATCTTTGCGTTCAGTTGACTCAGACACAACTCTAGTCTCTTCAACTAACTCACCGGCTACTACAACCGCTGGTTCTGTTACTTCACGAGAAAAAAGACGTTGATTTCTGTTCCCATATTGAATATACGATTTGTTTTGTATCACTAACAAAGTGTTTTGCAATAAATTTTTGTACTCGCTTCATTGTTTTGATTTTCTTCCCAGTAACGTCTGTAAATAAATTGGGTCTTTCATTTGGAATATCCTCTCATTTTTCAATAGAGTATGGTCATGTTTAGCAACATAATTGTCATGATTTTAAAAAGATTAAGTTTACTTTTTATGGAACCTGATCTCTTTATTGTAGTCACTTCCATATATAGTATTTACAACTCAACTTATTTAACACATAGCTAGTAGACTCGATAAAACTGTGTTTACTAAGATGAATTATAACCTGACGAACTAGCAGATTATGTTTTTTGCGTATAAGATCACACATCGTGAAGTCAGTTACACTTGAACACGATTAAAAGAGATAATTGGTACTTCAGTGTGTATCATCTGATGTACCTCATTTGTTATATGATCATGAAAGTGTGATGTCAAATAGAGGACAAATGTGATAATTAGAAGTATTTAGATTATTATACGAACTAGGAGTCTGTGACGAATAAAAGTATTTGAATTATAGTACAAACTAGGAATCCTAGGAATAACGCAATTTAACGAAGAAGTATCAAATGAGTACGAACGAACGTATTGTATTTGGAATTCGAAATCAGGCAGTCATCAAGCACAAAAGAATCATTAGTCCATACAAACACCACATCCTCTACAGCTTAAATGGCAATCCAAATTCTGCAATCAATTGTACCTCTTCTCCTTAATTTCATCATGTCTGTCCGACAGTGTATTGGATAGTCTGTATGATCTAGAATATACTTATTAGTATTAGAGATAACAAATGAAATTGGGACGGACTCACGAGATTGTATACAACCACCATGTCGGTTATGTACTGAAGCCACTGATACCTAGAATTTGAAATAGACTTTCAACACTTCCCCCCATGAAATAGTGTGTGGTCCTTATGTCGTGACCCCGAATGCCCTGGTATGGCCGAAAGTGGGGTGGGCTTGCCCCCTCTCGAAATACTCTCACACGGCCACGCATATACAGCCTCTGCTAGGGAAGTCCTACTCACTGACTTCTCGTGACGGAAGTGTTGTTCACGAAAATGAGAGGATGAAAAGCGAATGTCCGACGCTTTAATCGGATCCCAAACCAATCGTGCACATGGGCTTCAGTATCCTGTGGGAACAAACAGCGTATGAACCAATTTCTTGGTCACCGGCTGCCATCGGACTGCATCTCCTCAAGATGCTCCACTGCCATGTGGATCAGACCTTTAGGTCAAAGGCTCGGGGTGTGGCACCGTAAGAAAACCACCTGCTTGGGTCTGGGCACCCGGGCAGTATCACAGCCCACACACAAAAATGATGAACTGTCTACTTATGGAAAATATTCTTCTTGCTCCGAATAACAACCGAGTGATTCACATTATTATTATTATTATTATTATTATTATTATTATTATTATTATTATTATTATTATTATTATTATTTACTACGTCATTCATTCACTCTCTTTCATTCCCAATTTATGTATCCTTATTTTTCAACTTACACAGCAGCTCGTCTATGATGGAAATTCGACTGTATCTAAACGTTCTCGAGTCACTGTCCGGTTGAAAATGGTATGTTGCCACCAAATATGAGTACTGAAGCAGCTTTTCTTAAACCACGTACATCATTCAAACTGGCTGCCTTCAACGTACACTTATGCAGGTCAGACAACAGATAGGGCTGGCTATGTCTTTAGAAAGTCTTAATATCGATGTTTGATGCCTATCTGAGACCCGTATTCAAAACTCTGCTGAAGTACTACAAATTCGCTCTCCATCTGTCGCTTCGAAAAGCTTCCTTTACGTGCGCTTATCCGGGGACCCTGTGGCATCTTCGTCTGGTCTTGCTGGCGTTGGTGTCACACTAAGCGCTAGAGCTGAGGCAGCACTAATCGACTGGATCCCCATTAACAGTCCGTTGTGTGCTGTCAGATTAGAAAATTCCATCAAAGTGAGAAGAAATCGGCGTGAGAAACGACGTCTTTTCGTCATCTCCGCCTATGCCCCGACAGATTGCAGCCCGGATGCAATCAAGGATGAATTCTATCACCAGTTAACTGTTCTCCAGAAAGTGCGTTCGACAGTTATTGTAGTACTAGCCGGAGACTTGAATGCTCAGGTCGGGCGTCTAGGCACAGAAGAGAGTCGTTTAGTTGACCGATGGCGACTTGTTGGTCGCAGGACAGATAACGTGGACCGTCTACTGCAACTGTGCACAGACCACAACCTGTTTCTGGCTAGCACTAACTTTCGGCACAGTCATCGCCGACGTGCCACCTGGCGTCCTCCCTCTGCATCTCAAGCCTGGACTCAGATTGATCACATCGCGATCAGCTACCGCTGACGTGGTTGTGTACAAGACTGTCGCTCCTTTTGGAGTACCTATCTGGACTCTGACCATGCTTTGGTCTGCGCCAATCTTACCTTACTTTTCAGTGGACAACGAAGTGACCGCCACCAAAGGACTGATGTTGGTAAGCTGGTTGCAACTTCTGTTGCTAGTAAGTATCGAAAGGAGCTAGCTTTTAGGCTAGCTACCATTCCACCGTAAAGTATAGACGAGCATTGGTCGCAATTGCATGACGCTATCAAAATGGCGAGTAAAGTCAGTTGTGGGTTCGCGAAACGTCCCGCTTATAAGCACTGGGTTTCTTCAGGCTCCTTACAATTCATTGAAGCCCGTCGATCTACTCCGGATGACCGTGAGTTTGACCACAAACGAAGGTTGTTACGTAAGGAAATTGGGCAAAGTTTACGTAAGGACCGAGAAGCCTGGTGGTCGGAGCGTGCTAATGAGCTGGAAGCAGCAGCTGCATCTGGTAATTACCGAAAGCTCTTCCAACTCATCCGAGTCACTGGCAGCAAGAAGTCTTGTGTGAGTGAAACAATCTGCGAGGATGACGGGATTCCAATCACTAACATCCATCGACGTCTTGGACGATGGGAAGAATTTTCCGAAGGGCAGTTCAACTGGCCTGCTGCTCCGGCAACATCGGTCAAACTGTCCTGCCCTCATTGGCCGGTGACGACTGATCCACCAAATGAGGCGGAAGTCCGCAAGGAACCCCAAACCTTGAAGTGCTACAAATCACCTGACCCAGATGACTTACCTCCGGCTCTTTTTAAAGATGGTGGTGACTTTCTGACTAAGGAACTGACTGTGTTGTTTACAAAGGTCTGGGAGCTAGAGAGTGTACCAACGTCATAGAATGAGTCGATAGTTGTCCCTATCTTTAAAAAGGATCCACGTCGTTCCTGTAACAACTATCGGGGGATAAGTCTACTTCCCATTGCGTCCAAGCTATTGGCTTCCGTCATACTTCGTAGGTTGTTTAAAACCCGAGAAAGATTTACTCGCGAGGACCAGGCTGGGTTTCGTTCTGGTTGAGAATGTATTGATCATATCTTCACCCTCCGCCAAATGTTAGAACACCGCCATACTTATCAAAGGCCAACAATCATAGTGTTTCTTGACATTAGGGCTATCTTCAATTCGTTGGACAGGACTGTTCTGAGGGACTGTCTATTGAAGAACGGTGTGCCTGGGAAGTTTATTAACATCTTAAAAGCCCTGTATACAAACAATTCAGGCAGATTGAGGGCATACAACCTCTCTCCATTGTTCCATTCGAGCAGTGGGGTTAGGTAGGGTTGCCCAGTCTCACCATTTCTCTTCAACTGTGCCATCGATGACATTCTGGAAACAGCTGTGATGGATGCAAGTAATGGCGGTGTGGATCTGTTGCCTGGAGAAAGACTTCTCGACCTTGATTATGCGGATGATATTGTCTTACTGTGCGATAATGCCCAAGCCATGCAATCCGCACTTAATCAGTTGGTAGTCAGTGTCCGTAGGTATGGTATGTGCTCTGCACCTTCGAAGTCCAGAGTACTTCTACAAGACTGGCAGGATTCTAATCCTGTACTCACTCTGGATGGTGAGCAGATAGAAGTAGTCGAGAAGTTCGTGTATCTGGGTAGCTGCATAAGTGCTGGTGGGGGTGTGAGTGATGAGATCAATGCACGTATAGTGAAAGCCAGAGTGGCTTATGCCAATCTGGGCCACCTTTGGCGCCTTCGTGATGTTAGTCTGTCTGTAAAAGGTTGGATCTACAACGCGTCAGTGAAAGCAGTTTTGCTCTATGCTTGTGAAACCTGGTCTCTCCGAGTTGAGGACGTTAGACGACTCTCTGTGTTCGATCATCGTTGTCTCCGAAGGATTGCCGACATCCAGTGGCAACACCATGTTAGTAATGCAGAGGTTCGGCATCGTGTGTTCGGGAGCAGAGACGACAATGCAATTGGTGTCACCATCTTGAAACACCGACTTCGGTGACTTGGACATGTTCTACGAATGTCGTCCCAGAGAATTCCACGTCGTGCATTATTTGCCGACTCTGGGACTGGTTGGAAAAAGCGGAGAGGTGGTCAATATATGACATGGTGTCGTGGCATGAAAGAAAGCTGCAAAGGACTGGCTTGTGTTGGTCCTTCACGACTTTCTGGCTGGGGTCCGAGAGATGGTGCTACACAGTGGCTAGAGACGTTATCAGATATGGCTCAGAATAGAAGCCAGTGGCGATCCTGCTGTAACCTTTTACTTCCTTCATAAATAGTGTTTGTGTCTTCCTTGAATGAAGGATTTCTTCTGATTGTACCTTTTCGTTTCCCCAATTATTATTATTATAACGCTACCTTACCTTATGCTGTTCGTTATTGTTCTTTTTTACGCTCCTTACTTTTTTTTCCAATGTTAAACCACCATTAAAAACTTGGAAGGAAGCATGTGTGATATTTACTGGTATGAACTAAATCATCTAATAATATTCAATCATTTAAGCTAGCTAATCAAACAGTTGCTATGAGTAAAGAATACAAATGCTTGTAATGAACAGTGATAAGTGATCCCCTAGTGGAATAATGATTTCACTCAAGAATAAAGATATATATATGGATGGTATAATAAGATGATAAGATAAACAAACAAATTGCTACTATTCCACTACTAACAATATCCCTTGAATAAGTTAGTTGAGGGGATTGACATATTTAACCGTAACGTAAATAAGCATAATTGTAGGAGAGGTGCTATAATCCGGTACTGCAATAGTGATCATTACATTGACAGCATTCCTTCTACTGTTTATTTCCTTAATTCTAAAATTTGATTTGTTTGGCTCACTTCACCACCTGCATTTAAACCCAATAACACTTTCTTTGTTAACTCTAGTCAGATATTCATACCGAATTCATATTCGTTATAAACTTGTTTTACCATTTACACATCATTCGGTGGGATGTTTGAAATCGCATTTATTCAGTCTTCTCATATCGTCTTTAATTAGTGTTACCAGTAACGACGTTATAATCATCACATTGCTATGATTACAATTGTTTTCTCTCCGGTAATCGATTACATCATATTCTCCCTCCCTCCGTCTCTCTCTCTCGTCTAATCTATTCACTTATACATTAAACTTGTGTCAATGTAGTATGTAATTAGCACTATTTCTCACTAGTGAAATAAATGACTTCATACGCCATGTTACACGCATAATTATAATATGGAACTAATCCATGTCAGGTAGAAACAGGTATCTAGCTCAGACAATTGAAAATGGTTGCGCGATCTTGTGGATTGGTTGGAGTTAGATACTTACACCGTTGGATGCCAGCTTAGTCGTCTAGGAGTTCAGCGTTCGTGAGACTGAAGGTCCTGGATTCGAATCGCGGACGCGCAGTGCTGGCGAGTCCCACAACAGGACGAAACCACACATCCACTTTAGTCAGTCATGAACAGTGATCTGCGACCTAACACAAAACACATCGCTTCATCTTCCCATACTCTACAACTAGTGTGAACTACTTTGACACTTTCACTTATTTAGCTTAGCCCCAATGTGTTGGTTGATGGGAGTGTTGGTAACTCGTAGCAACAATTTAGTCCTCGACTTCGCCTAAATCGTTAGGTTGTACAGCAGGCTGGTTTTCGAACAAACATAATTAAGACCTAGTCTACTGCGAGCACTGTCTGCAATTTTTATTATTCGCCGAAATCCTCGTCGCCAATTTGTTATGACTTGATGGCCCGCTAGTTATCACGTAATCCATTCGCCAATCAAAATACGACTTATTCGCCCTTGTACTACTATACTAAACCAATGACGCCCGACCGGTCTGATCAATCAGCCTAGCGTCCTGTCAGTCCGTCGCTCGCCTCCTAGCCCGTCCAGCTCAACTGAATCCAGAATTCCAACAACAGCCTCCACTATGCGAATCATTTATCTCACATATACTGGGTTTATATACCAACCAAACAGACCGCAACGCACCATAAAATACAAAATAACATTTATACACAATAAAGCCAAGAAGTGGCTGTGAAGTGAACGTGGGAGACTGTAGTAACCTAATAAACTGAGTATAATCTAACAATAGTAAATGGTACAATAATAATAATCTATAGAAAATGAAGTCTATAATAGGAATATAGATATGCAGTCTAGTTAATGAAAACTTATACAATAGGAATACATATCTAATATTAGTCCATTATTAGGTCCCAGGAGTTACTCGTAATGTTGTAATCTTCACTAGGATATAACAAGTATCGTAAATAATCCTACACTATTTTATTCCAGATCCTACTTTAAATTAATGGCATAATCCATACACAACTGAGTCGTTTCGTTATATTGTGAACTGTTAGGGAACCATATCTCTCAGTCAAACATATATATGCTTAGTTTCATCCAATGACAGCTTCAAAGTAATGACTCCAACTAGTGAACGTACACCAAATAACTCTACAGTTCTTCAACTTCTCACATTAACAATGTCCCCTTTAACGATCAGAATGACTAAAACAACGTAGTGAAAAAGTTGGAGTTGCACACGGCACTAAGTATTTATAACCTCCTCCACTTCGTATAAGACAAAAGTTGCTAAGATGCCCAACCCTCTTTCTTATTTGTTACTGAGGTTGTCTTTCAACTTACGTTTGAACATTGTGGTGAAATATTCCATATGAAGCCAAACGAGTATTCGTAACATCGAAGAGTTCGAGCCAGATTTCATCTCAAAACAACTCGCAACCTATAATCGTATCAACCATAACTTGGACAAAATATCATACAAGGTAAATTACCTAGGCAAGCCAAATCCATATAACTCTGCACTGTCCATTTAGTCTAGTTAGAAACAAACATAAACAAATGTAATGAGGAGTACTTTTAGCCCTGCCCAGGATCAACATTTCGGAGATGTAGTGCTCTCTGAATTCGATGGTTTGGTCGTGAGACATTCATCATCCACCTAGACAACGTCAGCAAATACTTCGAAACAATCATCTAGTGTAATAAACACGAAATACATAGACATATCGACTGTTATCAATGTGGCTGACGTTAACATGCCCAGTTACACCATAGTCAACAATTTATTACATCCAAGTAGTTGGGGAAGTAGTTTTCATAGAATATGAAATAGGTCTTTCTGGGAACTGACTTTTTTCTTCGTTCTTCACATCTTTACTACTTTTACAAAAATAAAGACGTAGCATGAATTGATGAAATGTATATTAAAATAATTGAATGATTCTAGTTATTAGGAAAATAGGTGTGCAAGTATGGCATAAGAATTAGTTACGACAACAAACCATCCAAGTGTGGCGTGTGTATGTTTTTATAAATAAAAAGTGACAGTCTATCAGAAATAATAAAACAAATAACAAAACGTCGATAATAGAAACCTAACCGTGAGTGAATCTTAACAGTTCAACTTATCAATTAGGTTGAAAAGTTTGGTAAGATCTTTTGAGGCGCAATCTTCTTGTTCACGTACAGAATTGGTTCTTATAAGCAATTTTGGAAGCCACTCACTCATGACTTTATGGAAACGTTCAGATGGATCAATATTTTGTAGAAGTCGACTAATCCAATATAAAAGACGTCCACTGGCAAATAACATCCAAAATGGATAAAAGCTTATGAAAGGATTTCTGAAATGTGAACAACCATCAAACTTATTACTATTTGACATATAAAACGGACAAAGCACCTCAATCATTGCAACTAAATGCTTTAATCCAGTGGCCATACTTTGCAATTCATTAAGTTGGTGAACTTGCTCAATACAAAAGCAACGTTTATTTACCTCTTGACAACAAGTTGATTTGGCCACATCAGCACACTTATCGAGATGTGTGTGAATAGAGTTAACAAAACCTCCATCACCATCAGGATTTCTACCAAGAAACTCACGATTTGAATTCATTGCGATTGTACAACATGATAGCGCAAGTGCAACCGGCGATGTCTTAATGTTTTTAGCTTCATTTTGAGCATGAGACGAACATCTGAACCATAGAACTAATAAAATAGCCAAACCTTGTATTTCAAGAGGCTTAAAATCTTTCTCCAAATTCACATTGAAAATTTTCGCGAAAAAAGATAAGAACGACAATTCAGGCGTTTCAGCACTAGGGGGTTTCAGAGGCTTCACCGAAATTAAAATCTTCGTCAAATCACCATCCACGTTTCTTCTATACTCAGTGACACACTCATTCTCCATCCCACATAACTTTCCATTGGTGCCCAAGTGGTTTTCAAGTCCATATATAAGTCCATTTATAGCACTTCTCATCTTCGACATACATTCATCAAGCGAATTAGGAATCTTTATGTCCTCCATTACTAGACGAGAAAAAGCACCATTTCGTACATACATGTGGTCAAATAGGGATGGAGTTAAGTCCAGAAATATAAATCGCCTAACCAATTCTTTCGGCCAACGGTGAAATATACTGTCTTCATCATTATCATTTCTCTCCAATACAGGTTTAGAAAATTTGCAAACATCTTCACAGTAAGAACCTCGACAAGTTGTGGGATCCTGAATGTTCAGATTTCCCATCTTGCTTGACAATGAAACACTTAATGAGATATTGTGTTTAGTCGAAAAGCCTAATTCACGAGCCAGGTTTTCGCCTGAACTGTTTAGAACATAATCCGAAATCCCCAAACGGATTGTCTTTTCAATACCATCCCTCTCGTTTTTGCTGTAAAGTGACAACACCAATGACAATGGTTCTTCCATGTCACGGAAACTTAACAGCCAGTTAAATATAGCATCGATACGTATTTGATAGTAGGAACTGCTACGTAGGTTAGAAGTACGGATTAGTGAATCGATGATAGTTGGAAGGCGAATATTTGATATCATGTCATTACCAATGAGAATGGCAAAAAGTGGTAACATAGGATACTTGAGTTTAGAAAATGGTCCTGAATTATTAAGAATTGAACACGATATGAAATAACACGGAACACCATTCCGTTTACAAATAGAACAAGGGACGGATCTCTTCATAGAATAACGTGAAATGGTTGAAAATGGAATAAAATTATACACTTGATTATTATCATTTGGTCGATAAATAAAAAAATCAGAATCATTACTGGTAACAGGACATTGAAGATAAACAGCAAGTTCTGCTGTACTAATATCAGCTTCACGTTCACATGCTATGTATCGAATTGAAGATTCACGCAGAATTTCAACGAGAACATTTCTGTTAAGTCGTGGAGCTATATCGATTTTCAACTCTGTGCTGTAAGTTGACTTAGCGATCAGAAGAGCCGATGAGAGTTGTTTAAAGTACTCCTTGTTCCGCTTCATCAAAGTATCCAATTTTGTTCCCTAAACAAAGCGAAAAAAGTTCATTAGTTAATTTATAAAATCAATCACTGTATGTGACAAACTTGAAAAAAACATGGCTCAAGATGTTTGGTGTTATGTGTCTCTTTATTCATCACATTCGGTCGTGAATAATTGACCATCACCCCGAGAAATATATCAATAAACTGAAAGGTGATAATGAAATCATATCTCGAGTGGTGGTAAAAGGTTTATCACTACGTATAAAACCTCGAATAACACTAAATATTTGGCTGATTGTGTACACGCACTGCTCAGGAGTCAGTCACACAATAGGACGAAACGACAGAGCAGTGCTTCAATCGTGGTTTTCAATGGTGGTGGTCGTCTAGCTTAGATTGACTCCTGAATTCAACTGGGAAATTTCTTAAATTGAATGCTTAATAAACAAATTATCCTCACAATAATGAAGTAGACTTCCAGGTATACAAGTGACTGACTGACTGCATCAACATCTTCATTTGTAGATGTCATAGCTCGAGTCTCAATGTAAAACAGTGTTTAATGTCTTGTTGAAGAAAAAGCCTTAATACACAAACAAAATAATCGTTGGAATTTTGCAACAATAACATTAGTCAAGTGAACATTCTATGTGCAGACGATAGCACTTCAAACACACTTTCTGATGGTTTAATTAATTAGGCAACTGTAGTATTGAACAACTATATATGGATTTACTTGTACCTGCCAAAGCAGCTACATTGCTCGAACAGAAAGGAGGGCATATTTCAGATTTTTTGAACATGTTCCGAAAATCCTCACAACAAGAGAAAGAAACACTCTAAACAATGCCATCACCAAACATCTCCTTGATACAGGACATCAGGTCGATACCTCGCAATCTTCAAGGTGATTAGTAAGTAAACAGCCAAATTCCAGTCTTCTCAAGTTTGCTCAACTGAAGCCAGTGTTATCAGGCGTCAAATCCTGACTTATGTATTCAAAATCAAAACGAGATGGTTATTAATCTTTCCATGCCTTGTCTTAGTGACAAATATTCCTTCACTGCATCCTATAATAATTATTATCATTATCCTCATCATTGTTTAACTCTTTCTTGCATTTATTGCATCATTCATTTGTATTTCAACTATCTTCCAAATTCATAATCTTATTCTTATATCAACTCAGCTCAACTCAATTTATTCTAATCATCAGCATTTACTCATTACATAGTCACTTGTATTCAGTCTATTCAATTTATTTACACCCTTGTTATACTATACTACACTAATCTGTCTTCAATATAACTTCCATCCAACCAAACTCTCTCATGTAAGTCGTTTAAACTCATCACGTAATTATGATTCCGAATTATCACAGGTTGTAAGCAGCTGATGAGAACCAGACGAAATAAAACGAATTCATGTTATTCTGCTCGAATCTTTCAGTTCTCCCTCTTTTCAAAATGATAAAGTGAACTATGTGTATCAAATCAATTATTAGGCATCTAACGTATACACAATAATAAACTACTCTAAGATGCACCAATTCCTTCAATCAATCAGAATATCATCTACAATAGTGATAAAATCTATACTACACAAATGCCTCAACATTTAAGTGAACTCGAAAATATGTAAGCAGTTAGTTAGGAAAACAAAGTACTATGATAATGTAAGCAGCATACCATACCATACCTCTTTCGGATGACATCCACCGAAAACGAAAATTGGCTCCACACCACAGATACTAAACTCTTTTAACAATGACTGCACATAACTCTTAAATGCCAAATACTCTCCACCAAATTCACATCGCAAAGCAGCTTCACGATAACATACAGCAGCAAAGTTCTCAGCATCAATAACTAAAGGTTGGTTATGCAATTCGTACACGGATAAGTTTCCACCGCTACTTCGTATATACGTCCACAACCCTCGGATACCCATCTCTTCTAAAAGATATAAATAAAACAACATGGTACGAGTATGGGGATCTTTAAAAACAATAACAAAAATGTAAGGATAGAAGAAAACATTCGCATATAGATATGATGTGGATAACCTAATACCTATAATACAATTCATCAGTAAATAACTATAACTAGGTCGACAGTAATTCTATAAGGTGATAAACTAAACCCATTCATTTGCTAAGCTTTTATTTTGCCTAAACTAATTCATCTTCCTTAATAACTCCAACTACTATTGTTCTATTCATAGGCTTACTTTTATTACACTAGATATGAAACAGTTTGTCACTAAAGTGACTTGCAGCTTACTACTTACTGCATAAACCGAAATACAATCAATAATCCTGAACCAACTACAATGAAAGCGAATGAGTAGAGAGATGAATTTGACTCTACAGACAAAGAATAATGATCTTTCTGCCTATCTATCTCCCTACTACCAAACCTAATCACCTACCTACCTATCTAGAGACAGGATATACAATTAAGCACACTTCAAATCGAAAAATATCGAGTCATCAGAATAACAATATATTTTAAAATATATACATATACACATGTTATCATTCATCACGTCAATCTGCATCAACATCTGTGCAATAGCGTTGAGAGATGACGACAGTCTTCCACGGATCAAGTTAAATCGGCATCAAACACCAGGGCATCCACCATTACGTGCCATCGTACCACCATTATCAATCAATGCAATAAACTCCCATCAATTGCCAATCATTTCGCATATTACCCTTCTGTCATCAAGTTCGTCATTTCCTGTACACACACATTACTGCAACCAACACCACCGACAGTGAAAACCTACTGAGAAATTTTCCAAAGTTACAATACTCATTACATTACAGTATGATAAGATTGATTAGTTAGTAATTAAAAGAATTCAAGATGGAAATTATTACATCTGTCACTGTTTTGTCTGCGGCTATCCTTAACTAACTTGCACTTGCTACTGAAAACCGCAAATACGACGACTGGTGGGTGATAAGGATTTACTTGACCCTCAATATAAATCAAAATCTTATATGCATGCATACACAATGTAGTCAGTCAAGTTGACAATCACACTTGCAGTAGTATTTAATTAATATCAATATATCATTATCATCAGTAAGACGACCTGTAGAAATTGTATTATTTTAACAGTTGAATTCAGGATTTAAGCTAAGCTAGACCATCAACATAGAAAACCACCATTGAAGCACTGGACGGCCGTTTCGTCTTATTAAGTGACTGATTCCTCAGCAGCGCGCATCCTTCATCCGGACTACGAACTGCAACCCAGCACCTTTGATCTAGCTCACATCACCTAGTCGTAAATTCAACTGTTCAAATAAATAATCAATATCATACTGGTCAATTTTCACACGGATAGGATTTTCCTCTTTTCACCCTATCACATCAAAAATTATTACCCTTAAAAACCATTGCAAACAGAAAATCGACCACGTAAACGTTTATGTTTAGCGTGACACACTATCCCGTTTATCCTGTTCCGTCTAACATAAACAGTATCAGATATTAGATTGTTTTGAAACGCATTTCACTGTACAATAAATACTAAATAGTTGTGAGGTTTAAGTGACCCTAGATCTGACTCTACTCGGGTCAGACGAATGCTGCTTTCGAATGATTGCTGTCGAAATATCCACCCTAGCTATTCTCCTATGATAATTATCGACTTAATTAATTAATCCACCTTAGTAAGTAACGGAATTAAATAAGTCAACTACGAGGAGAATGAATATTTCAGTATGAATACTTTGTGCAATCACACATCGGAAAGCCAAGTAAATGAAAACCATGCACAATGGGCAAGGTGACTGAGCCAACTCGATTTAACCGATTGTCAATCGATATTTACAGTCAGACAAAACTAAATCACAGACATATCTGTGATGGGTAAGATAAGAAACATCAGGCACATACATACATATGCTTACATAAAAACAGTCAAGGATTATAACAGAATAATTGACAAGGTCAACATGTAACTACTCAATATGAATAAATAAATTGGCTTATCCGGAAACTAGAATAAGCTATATGGGCTTGACATAGCAACCGACACTACGATGTATCTATCTCTACTACGATGTCCCCATTTTATTTCCTTCATGTTACATCGTTTTAGTTAACGACTAATAATACTACTACACGGTTTATCATGTTTATTTGAGCGAAAACAATCGTCACTTGAGCAACTTAACTTATTGAGTTGAGTAAATGGGAAAAAAATGAAAGACACAAATTATGGCAAATAGATAAGCAAAGATGGATGATGGCTAGCAGCGGAATCTAGGACGTATGTCTCGTCCTAGTTGGGACACATCAGCTAGACGTACCTGCAACTCCGAATTGATGTTCACTCCAGGACTCGAACCCAATACCCTTCGCTTTAAACGACATAGCTTTTCCAACTGATGTTTAAGACTGCAATTGATCAGTCTTTTATTGGCATAGGTGCATACTACTAGCCAATATCTATCTTTGATTATAAAAGCTTGTGAATCAAGGCAATACCAAGGCATACACACAGTATGCACATATGCCAGTAACAGACAGATCAATTACAGTCTTAAACCTCGATGGGAAGATACAAGCAAAAAGAATACCAAGTGAATTTATGGCAAATGGACCTTGCAATAAAATCTTAGCGAATCCAAGTTGTAAAACATGTTTGTGCTCTTAGATCCCATTAACTAGTGAGTGATCATCTCTCTAATACAAACAAATATGTGGTACCGGACATGACTATTATTTATCTCATACTATTCTATTGTCTAAAGTTAACAACTTTTCGAAAAACGACGATCACATAGAGATCGACAAATATCTTGCAAAGGGAAAATCTCACAAGTATAGAGCACAGCTGATTTCACCAAAGTATTTTACTTCGGAGCTTTTATAGAAATACCAAATCTGTGACACAAGAAATATCACCATCAGCTAATCCTCTGGTTATTTCGCTTTACATTTAAAATATCACCTGTCCAACCAAAAACAGCTATAAATAAGTCTTCTGAACCGAGTATCTTGTGGCGTCTTACCAGTCACAGTCCATTCTATAACATCGTGAAGTTGATTCAAGTCAGGTCACATTTACTGAGTTTTTGATAGAGCATGGGGGTCAGTTGAACCGTTGCTCAGAAGACTCCATTTGGCGCTCTAAGCATCTTTGATGATGTTTATCAGTAAGCCAGTTATCATTTCGATATTTTTGTTACAAGTGACTTGGACGATCAGGCGACAAGCACTATCGACTGCCGTTTTGACTATCTCCACGACCAGGCCGATTTTTCTTTGATAACGTCCTGACAAATAATTCAGTGATCAGGATTTTTACAATACAATCAATTGAATGAGCTCAGATGAACTTTCATTTGTCTAAACATCACAAGATACATCGTCTTTTCTATTACAGCTTTCTTTCTCCATGTAACACAGTCAATAAAACACAACTAAAACACATGGGATAATAATAATAATAACAATAATTCTACTCCACCATTCCACGTTACAATCATTTCATTGCCATGTACAGTTTCAATCCTTCAGTAGCCAACATTGTATTTGAGATCTACCATCAAATCACTAAGAAGATCGAACATACATTCTGAATATTCTCATATTTAAACGAAATCAGTTTATAAGCAGAGATGGATAGTGGCTAGCAGTGGAATCCAGGACGCGCGTTTCGTCCTGTTTGGGACTCGTCAGCTGGATGTACCTGCATCTCAGAGTTGATGTTCACTCTGGGACTCGAACTCAGTACCGTTCGCTTCAAACGCCATCGCGTTATCCACTTAGCTACTGAGTCCTGAAACATCAATGGGAAGATTCAAATAAAACAATATCAAGTGAATTAAACTTCACCCCATTGCACAAGCAAGTGGCTATCAGGACTCAGTAGCTAAGTGGATAACGCGATGGCGTTTGAAGCGAACGGTACTGAGTTCGAGTCCCAGAGTGAACATCAACTCTGAGATGCAGGTACATCCAGCTGACGAGTCCCAAACAGGACGAAACGCGCGTCCTGGATTCCACTGCTAGCCACTATCCATCTCTGCTTATAATGCTTGTAAATTAAGGCAATATCGAGGCATACGCACAGTATGCACATATGCCAATAAGAGACTGATCAACTTCAGTCCTAAAACATCAATGGGAAGATTCAAATAAAACAATATCAAGTGAAATCAGTTTAGTTACATAATCATGCTTTTTAGTATTGAGCTTCTCCACATGGGGTATTTGTTACAATCATTGTCTAGTTAAATACGGTTAACATATGGTGGTAATCAGTCCATAAGTCCGTTACATGGAATCACATAAAACCAGTAAATAAGACCTTTTAGTAAATAGAAATAGTTTGACAGGCTTTCATACGATGCTTAATCGACAACGATATATGACAGAGGTTAAGAGGCAACAAAACAATTGCATTTGAGAATGATATACTTACCAATTCAATCGCAAGACTTCAGCGAAAACATTCCTCGCACGCTACACTATACTACTACTTCTTAATATTAAGTAGTTACGAGTATCCACAAACATATAACTCATGACTTATTGTTTTCTATACGGTTCAGTTCTTTTCTCGAACAGAAACGTCCAATTATACTCCGCTTTCAATACTTCATTTTCTTCTCAATTTTACGTGGCACTTAATCGTCTTCTCATCACTAAGTCTACCTTGTATTAAACATTCTTTGGAAGTCCAGTTATTCCCAACTAATGGATTAGTCTGCAAACATTATTTCACTTACCCTTCTTGATGATTCTTCATAATCCCATTTCACAAAGGCATATGCCAGCCAAACCATGATGTATATCCACTACTCAGTTGTTGAAGGAACCAATTCCCATCCAACTACCGCTTTTCTCACTCAATTGAAAACTTCTCATGATTAAGGGCTCGAATAATTCAGTGTTTATACAATCTTCTCTTCTAATAGTACCATATTTCCATACAAAGTCTTGCTTTCTACTTTCATATCTCATACAACGAGGTCATCTTCACACGGATTCCACAATGAAAAAAGTAAAACAACCTTACACATATACATATAAACAAAATAAAATCTACTTGTATTGTTGAATATAAGCGAAATCATATCGTACAGAATTTTCATGATCAATTTCAAAACAATGGCGAATTGCGCGATAAGACTTTCAAAAATCATTGCTAAATCAAAGCAGAGATGAATGGTGGCTAACAGTGGACCTCAAGAGACGCGTTTAGTTCTATTCAGGTTTACATAGCTGGATGTATCTGCGTCCAAGTTGACTTCCACTCTGGGACTCCAACCCTGTACCGTCCACTTCAAACTTTATCGCGTCTCAACTCAGTAGGTAAGTGGACAACGCAGTAGTGTTTCGATCGAACACCATTTTGTTCCAGTCACGGAGTGCACATAAACATCAAGCAGACCAGTCCCAAATACAACGTGACCGACGTCCTGTATTTCACTGATAGCCACCACCACTACTCATCTCTGCTTAGAACAATACTTCTGACTTGTCATATATTCAGACAATCCGCACAGGATGCACATATGCCAGTAATAGACTGACTGGTCCATCCCAGTTCTAAACGTCAATCACAACATTCAAACAATCAATATATATATTACAGATATTTTACAAACATGGTAAATATGTAACTAACTATCGGATAACTTGTGAAATAACAAAAAGTAATACTAAATGCTTATTCTAATGCTTCACCATCATTACAGTTTAAAATTAATTCTATACACAAATTACTTGGTAATAGTTAAAGTCAAATAAACTTACTCATGTTTACACCACAATATGTCATAGCTCATTCAGTAATTTTGAAAACCAATAGCAACAGCTGTCCTCTCGGGACTGTAGTATAAATCAGCTACAGTATAACAGTATATTCAAAAGTTTCCAAATCTTTCAGTACATCCCCTTCCAACAACCTCCCTAATTGGAAAGCAGTATTACCCCTCTCATGGATTACAAACTAGTTATCTATCACAAATCACACACCAAGCTCACACGATTTGTCTAGGGGCTGGCTTGTCAATTAATACTGAGCATCATCAATACGCGATTAACCGGATCTTCTACATTACAAATATTATATTGTTCGCTCTACTCCCAATACAATAACCGAGGTTGTAAACACTATTAGTTGTCTTACATATTTCAGCTAAACAACTAACCAAGTCATGTATTCTGCACAATTCAGCATAACTATTTCCACAAAATTCTCTAAGGAAGTAATTCACATACCTGTTTCCGAAGTGCTAAGTACAGTGCAACACCTGTAACATACACCTCAGTTTCTACGGACAACAAATCAACTTGCTTATGTGAATTAAGAATTGTTGTTGGGGCTGACTAATATGAAGTTGTTAACTTGAATCAGTTAACAAGCCAAATGAATTTGGGTGATAAATAATGATCAGAATAAATATGGTTAACATGGGGTGAGAGAGAGAGAGAGAAAATAATGGAATAAAAATTATGAAATTTAATATCCAACCCTCTTATTCTATTATTATATCTGACTCAATTCATGTTATTATACATATTACGTAAATTCTGATTTGTAATTACAATATTCTCTCTCCCTCTCTATCTCTTACCACATATTGATCTCAATATATAGTGCACACATTG